ATCCCACTGTATTTAATATGCTTTGCATAGAAAATGCTGCAAATTCCAAAACAATTTTATCTAGGTGCCAAGGCAACTGATAATACATAAGGGAGACCATTGTGTGTTTGACAAGACACTGAATACATCTCTCCAGAGACTTTAATGTAGCAATCAGCAATAGTTTTAAGCTGCACCTCACTAAGAGTCTTGTTACTTGCCTCTTCAATAATACTTATGTGGTAAGCTCTAATTATTGCTGTAATAAGACTTAGCATATATAAAAATGTAACAATTTCAAAGTGTTGCATTATTATTAACTGTGTATAATTTATTAGTTTAGTATAATAGTTTTATTCTACTAACATTAATAAGGTAGGAGCTTATCAGCCAAGTTTAAAATTAAAGGTTGCTGTCCTGGTTTTAAAAAAAGTTAGTAAGTTAAACAAGCAAGATAGATGAGGGAGAAGAAAGGTAAGAGGGGAAGGGGCAGTAATAGCTATGAGCACAGTGTGATGGAGAGATTATAGGAAATGCAAGTCTATTTGCATGGATTCTGGGGTGGTGTAGTTGTGACAATATGGAATTTAATTGCCTAATTCAGCTTTTCTAAGCCTAAAGCCCTGGGACCATTGGTGGTCTACCAAGAAATGACCAGACACCAAGGAAGCCTACAGAAACCAGTTATCAAGGAGCTAGATTTGATTTACCTACCAGTGGTCACTTCTGCATGAAACAAAATACAAGCAGTTTGCAGGATCTGGAGCTAAAACTAGCAAAACTGAAGCTGCAAGGAAGAATGGTATGCCTGGGAGAAAGGAGCCATATAACATGTGCAGCAAAGTAGGAGGAGGACTAAAAGACAAAAGTACCTAGGCTGCCAGAGCAGGGGACAAAACAACTTGACAAGCAGACAAGAAAGCAGAGATGCATAAACCGAAGAAGGAAGAGCGGAGAATAGGACAGATAAGAAGATGATAGGAAATTAAGACTACCACTGATTGTGGGCTTACCTTTCTCTAATAAGATAACACCTTTATTACACCAGATGTACCCAAAGCACACAAAACTGTTTTCTTTATTTTACTTCATTATGTAAGCAATTCCTGCTTGATTTAGGGATACAATGCAAGGACAAATGAATCCTTGAGACACTCTCAATTAAAACATTGTTTGCAGTAAAAGTTTTGGTACCCTTGGCTTATTAATAAAAGAGCTTCTGCTACCTATGCTTTGTTCAAATATTATTTAGTCAATCCATACAATACTCAGCTAAGATATGTAAATATTCTATTCTACTTTGATGGATAGAATCTCTGATACTACAGAGAAATTAGTCTTCATCAGGATGCCTCTATTTTGCTTATATAATGATTAGCTTTGGTATTAAGCCGTTGATTTTGGATCAGAAGGATATGACAAAGTACATCTGAATCATTAATCTTTTTTTTCTGTATTTTTCCTGGGCAAGATAATATTACAACACAAATTAAGAGAAATAAAAACGTTTCCTTCTTGATCTAATACCAAAACCTTCAGAAGATTGATTTTTGTATTTTGAAAACATTCTTTTGTGAATTTTCACTGGAAGGAAATGAAAAGACCATGTCAGATGATTGGCATGTTACTGGTGATAGCCCCTATTTGTTAAAAAATTATGACACGGTTCCTGTGCAAGGGAACTATGCAACATTAGTCAGAACATTAGGCAGAATGCTAGAAATTACTTAATTATCAGTAATTAAGAGGAATTAATAAAGCTGGGAAGCTGGAAATTTATGCAGCTAATTTTGTGGAAACACATTTAAACATTTATCTTTCTAAACAATGCTTTATGTGGTAAGCTATAATTATTGTGGACCAAATGCTGAATCACCATCAAAACCTGTAACTCATAGGAATTAACACCCAATTGGGACTACCTTACAATAGTTATAATTGGCAAGGAAACATTCTCTAGATTCTAAATACAGTGAAGAGTTTTGCCACCATCACCATCAGTAAATTAAAACACACCCAAACATGGGTTATTGGTTAGGAAGGGCTTGGACTACTATGTTGTTTTATCAGGTGTTTCTGTGTCACTCTAGCCAGAAGAGACTGGAAGAATTAACAACTCCATTTTTACTTCTCAGTGATGGTGTTGTGCCTATCCAGAACACACCAAAGTTTGTCTGCAGTTAAAATATTCTTGGCAAATAACTGTACTGTTTATAACAAAGCATTTTAGAAGCTCTATGTGAGGTAGATACCTATTATTATGCAACTACATTGCTGTGACACACTTCACTGTAATGGAGCAGACATTCTCCGATGCCTCCTTTCCAGCTGTTGATCATGTTCTCAGTTGTAGATGACTGCCCTCTTCAACCTGGTAAGTAGCACCAAGGAGCTGCTTTTGGCTTAACAGTAAAGGGGAATGTTTCTGTATAGCTAAACTTTCCCTCTCTGTGACTTTATTCCACTTTTTCTTTTACTGAGCTGACTCCTTGGCCTGTGCTCCTACAGACCTAGACTCAGATGAGGCTTTGATCAAAAGTATAAGAGAATACTTGTGCACACCACAAAACTACGCTCAAATCAGGACTCAAGCGCAGATGTTGACATGATGCAACACTGATAATCTCCATCTTTTGAAATTCTGTATGCAATAACAGGCTAAATGAGTGGTGTAAGGCAGGGGTTTTCAACCTTTTTAATAAGTGTACCCCCAGCAACCCCCTTTTTAGTAAGTGTACCCCTGGGGTCGTGTGGCAAGTGGTCAGACACCAATTGGGGGGAGAGTGTGGCAAGCGGCCAGACATGGAGCAGGGGTGTGGCGAGTGGTGGCAGCGCAGCTTCTGTGTGGCCTTGCTCTTGACCCACCCCAGCCCTACTCCTGTGAGGCAGCACCATGGGGTGGTGGCGCTCTGTTCCCACCCGCCTCTGCATACCCCCTGGGACCTTTCAAAGTATCCCCAGGGGTACACATACCCCCAGTTCACAACTCCTGGTGTAAGGAAACATAGGGCTTGCCTCCTTTACATCCAAGTCTTGCCCATCAGCACCACTGTTAAGCACACCCTTCCCACTCACTTTTGCTTTCTGTGCACCTATTTCTGGAAATGAAGTAACACAGCTACCATCTATTTGCTTTAAGCGTTTGCTAATAAACATGCTGAAGAATGTCTCTGTGCACAAAATCAGAATCACTTTAATGCAGCTTTATCGCCTTCCCCCCAGGATTTGATGTGAATGGGGTGAAAAGGTGGGAGTGAATGGGTGGAGTATACTTCTTACCAGCAGTCATGGGCATGCCAAAGCAGCGGCACAGCCATGCCATTGCACAATTTGGGTTCACATTACACATGACCTTCCTGCAATGTCAGCCTCTATCTTAAAAGTTGTGGTATTACTAATGTGAACTGCCCATCAGCTTAGTAAGTTATAGTTTGCTTGCATAATATGAGAAGTGGCTGGAGTTTTACACAGAATTTGGCCAAAGTGAGTCTTCCCCTCAGCATCAATTCAGATTATAAACACAAACTTATTTTAAATATTTCAGGCTGTGCCCTAACACTTAGCTCAAGTACAACTGTGGGGTTGTGAAGGACGAGGAATTTCTGACCCTGCTAACTCTTTAGATGACTTAAATAGATCTATTTTCTGAGTATTTACTTCAAGTGAAATTGAGAGAAATCTTCCATAGAAAAATAAGGCTGGAAGGGACCTCAAGAGATCACCTAGTCCAACTAAGGATGAAAACTGCAACCTTGGTGTTAACAGCACCATGCTCTCACCAACTGTGCTAAACAACCACTAAAAAGATCCCTAGCAATAGTTTAGGTGAAAAGCTTTAGGTTAAATTAAACTGCTTCCTGTTAAGCATTCAGCAAAGCTAGCACATACCAGGGCTCTGGTAAACTTTTGTGTTTGAAAAGCCTACTAGAAAATCCAAAGTTGGCATTTTTTCCTTGCCCTTTCAAACAACATACAATGGGGCTTAATTGTTATTAAAGAGCTACAGTGATAGCTAAATGTTGTAAGCAGCTCTATACTGAAAACTCAGAGTTCTCAAAAGAGAGTAAATATAATTTTCCTCTAAAAGCATTATAAAGAGTAGGAAATTGCAGAGGAAAATGCACTTACTTTCCATTAAGCAGGGTACAGACACCTATTCTGTTTTCATACTGAGTTTTTGGAGAGGATGATGCCTGTAACCACAGATATCTCTGGGGTAATTCATTTGGCTAAATTTTGTATTCAGTGTTTTGATGTTAAAACAGAGAAAGGTGGTTGGAGGAAACCATATCGCTTCTGTCAAAGTGGTGGTGCACAGGTTAGAGAAATTAGTTGACTTCATTTCCTGAATGTTAAGAATTGGGTAAGACAGGCTGGGTAAGATATTCAATAAGGTTTTGCTCATTTGTTTGTGTGTTTAAATAAACAAACCCATCCTACTTAAGGAAAAGGAAGAAGAAAAAGAAAAAGGAAAAACCTGAAGGCTCAAACAGTTTACATTTCTGTACAGGTAAATTTCTGAAATTAATTCATGACGTTTCTTCAGCTCTGAGCACAGCAATGATCAGGGGTCATCATAGAAATGACTGAGGTTCACCAAAGCACTGCAGTATTGCCCAAACTAGTTGACATTTTTTCCCCATTTTATCATAATTAACTGCTAGGGATATATTTTCCAAAAAACACCTTTGCCTGATCCTTCTCTTATATTAATGAGCTCTCAAGCAGAAATTGTTGGACTGGATTTGGAAGGGGGATATAGGGGAATGGGTTTGGTATATGTACATGTAAACCAGGTGTGTGTTTAAGTAAATAGTTTTTGTTCCTATCTTTCAAAGGGCCTCAATAAAATTGCACAGGGATCATCTCGATGTCACTGTTGCTCTCTAAAGAAAAAGGAGGCAAAACTGCCCTTCTGCTATATCTCTGGCTGTAAAAGTATCAGGAGATTGTATGCTACCAGGACTTATTACCAAGCTTGTTAGTGCTGAGTACATGATGAAAGGGGCATGCTTACTCACCAAAATGGATACACGAAAAGTCTACTGACAATGAAGACAACCGCAAATGTGATGAACAGGAAGTCACTCAGTTTTTGATACTTGCAGTAGTTTGCCATTTTGGCAGCCTGCAAAAGAAAGGCATGGAGAGTGATCAGTTAATTTTTGATGACACTTCAGGTCCCTTGCCCTATATGCTAAGTTACATTTAACAATTAAACTGAAAGGGAGCCACATTTTGACCAAATGAGCCAGCAATAATATTGCTCTAGCCAACAGTGGCTTGATTTCCCTGCTACCAAGGAAACGGTTCATTTCGTCAAGGGGAAAGACCAAAAAAAAGATGTTACGTAAAAGGAAAGGAGAATCCTTGCTTCTTACCCAACCGACTCTTTTACATCATTCTAGTTTCAGTCCCCTCAGTCCCCTAAATAGTCCCTGCTCCTCAACCTTATCTTTCTCTTTACCTGCTTACTGTGTTCCTTTTGCATCTATTATTCTAGCATAATGAAACATCAAATTCTCCCTCAGTGCTACTCTCTTATTGAACAACTTCCCTTTTTCTTTCCTTCTCCTACTCTGACCTGCACTGATTTCCTCTTTTCTAACTCCATCTTCAATACCCAGCAATCACTTGAAAAATGATTTCCTAGCTTGCAGCAAGCAGGCTAGGAAATTCAATGGATACTGAAGAAAGTGCCCAGCAATGCTACTGCTACAGCCTAAAGGACAGCACTTAATTCATCCACAACAGACACTTAGTGTACGCTATAGCTGATCTTCAAATTAAAAGTAACAGTTTACACATCAGCATGTACATAGTACAACAGCTATATTTTTTGCATATAACTTTCTAATTTTCTGAATACATTTTTAGATGGAAAGTCCATGGCAAAGTACAATAGAACTTGGCTTTATATAGTTTTGGATTCACATTTCAGTACCAGTTTGTGCCAAGCTTGTGCTGGATTTCACAAATGAAACAAGATAGAACTGAGTCAATACTGGGTTCTTCTACATGTGTAAATGCTCTGGGGTGAGTAGAGTAAACCCACCCCAGGCAGGTGTCTACATGTGCCAGGAAGCAGGATCAGATTTGCTGCTCACAGCAGTAGCCTGCCCCTGCCCCCACCAGCTCTGCCCTGGCCCCTTGCAGCAGCCAGGGGCTAGCAGGGAACACAGGGCTAGCATCCAGATGCTGATTGTGGAGCGGGGGCTGGGAGCTCCCTGCTGCCAGGGCAGGGGGACATTGTCTCCGCCCAGACTCCAGTGGTGAAGCCCACCCTGGCAGCAGGCAGCTCCCAGGGGCAGGGAGCAAATCTCCCACCCCCTGCTGCCCAGCTCACTAGGAGCACGTTTGTTCCCTGTACTGCACAGTAATTACTCCCAAGTAAATTTGTTACTTGTACTTACAGATAGCAACTTTACTTGCGATTAGAGCAAAGTACTGCAAAGTATACATCTGCATGTGTAGAAAGCAATGCTTACTGTGCAGTAATTTGCTCTAATCTCAAGAAGTGTCTCATGCAAATGGGCCCACTTAAATTAAACAATCTGCAAAGTAAACTTTGGGCCAATAGAGAATAGTAAGGGTGTTTCCCTTGCACAAAATTTTTCCATTTGAATTCTTAAAGTGCCAAAAAAGCACTTAACCTCTCCCCCCGAAAAAATAAAAAAAACATTTAAAACTGAGGAAACTGGTCATTAATGAGATTGTTGTACATTTCTGTAACAGGGTTGCAGCCCAACTAACACAGTTAATTGTCCTTCTCTTGCAGATTCAGCCTTCCTCTCCATCTCCTATTCTGAAATTGTAAAATAGCTGCTGCTTTCTACCCTCAGGGGGCTTCATTTTCATGTGACCTCTCTTCTAAACCGAGGCTGTAGGTATGGATTTGTCTTACAGTTCTATAAATCAGGTAGAGAGGTGTCTAGATTTTCTCACTCGAGGCAAAAAACAAGCAAAGCAATGAACTACATTTTTGGTTTTTTAAATCAATATTTGTAAAAGCAATTTTAAGAATATTCAGATGAAAGCTGTATAAAGAGGTATTATTAATAAATTGCTGCCAAAGACGACCTTATACAGTCTGTGGAAAACAAGACTTTCTGTGGCAAGATCCATGGATTGCATGCACTCTGATGTAACAGCTCAGAAACTTAGGGGTAGTACTGTTTAAATAAAAAAAAAATCAAAACATCAAATCTGAAAATGAATAGTAATGTGAACCTGATTTATCTGATATTTTGATTAACTCAACTGATTCTGTGCTGAACAACCTTTCTGGTAGTTCAACACATAATTGTGTTGAAAGTATCAGCAAATAACCAAACAGTTGTTCTGGTATTTAAGTAGAGATTAGTTGGGACTTTTGGCCCCTTTGGTGGTGAGGAACATAGTGCAGGATCATGTGATAAACACATTTGCTAGATGTTTTTGCTAAACTAATAGTTAGCATTGCTGACATTTAAATTTTCACCTTTCGGTTTCAGACCTAACAACAAACTGACATTAATAGGGCAGTTCGTACTATTTAGAGATGTCATGTTAGACCTGGACTCTGAAATGTCATTCAATACAAAGACCAACTCCACAGTGCATTTATGTATTTTCCAAGGACATGTATCTTACAAGGTTGCTGCCATTGTAGCGTTACCAGTATAGCTATGATGGCAGATACTCCTTGTGGAGAGGTGGCACAGGGCTTTTTCCCTGCTGTTTGTGTAAAACTTCCTCCATGAATGACAGAGGCCAGCAAGAGTAATTTCTGTCAGTACATCTGCAAGAGCATTTTGCTGACAGATCTACTGTCAGCTGGATGGGCTATACCAGCAAGACCAATTACTGTAAGCCAGTGATTCTCAACAAGGGTGCCAAAGCACCCTAGGGTGCTAAGTTCTTTGCAACAGAAAAGCTGCTTTATTATTTTTCTGTTGTCAAAAGACAAGTGAAAACTAAGAGCTGGTACTTTTCTAGGGGTGCGTTGAGTTTAATGAGGGGTGCCTTAGGTCTAAAAATACTAGAACCACTGGTGTAGGCTAAACTCAATCACAGAATTCAGGAAGACCTTGATTTAGAAGTGCAAAATGTTATTGTAAGTTAGCACAAAGCTTTTATAAGTGAGAATTACATATCAGGACAGCAGTAGCTCTGTAGGTCTGTTAAACACAATGTAATATTTACAAGTGGGAAGCATCTAGCATAGACACAGGGTTAATCCCTACTCTTCTTGTCCTCCTAGGGTGCA